CGTCGTCGTCGTCGTCGTCGTCGTCGGGTTCGGGACCGTCCCCTGCCGGCCTCGGGCTGGGCTCGGCGGGGTGCCCCAGAGGCAGCGAGATGCGCGGGAGTTCCGCCGACCGGAGCGCCGTGCGCAGCTCCCCGATCTCCCGGCCACTCGCCTGCACCTCACGCTCGGTCGCCGCGCCGCGATGTGAGCGCAAGGATATGCGGAGGAGGAAGAGGATGAGGCGGAGGAGGAAGAGCTGGGGCACTCGCCCACCAGAACGGTTTCTCCAACCACGTCTTTCAGTGAGTATGGCAACCCGTAGTTGGGCTGAGCAAGAGAGTTCACACGCAGCGAGCGCTGAGCATGGCAGAGTGGCGCACCGACCACGGCGCTGTTGAGAGGGGGGGGAGGCAAGGGATAGGAGGAGGAGGAGGAGGAGGAGGAGGAGGAGGAGGAGAAGGAGGAAGAGGAGGAGGAGGAGGATAAGGAGGAGAGGGAGGAAAGAGGACGAGGCGGTGCCGCCATCACCCAGGGAGGGCCTGCGCCTGCGCCTGCACCTTGACCGCCAGCGCCTGAGCCCAGAGGCCGCGAATACCGACGCGCACGTGCGCGACGAAATCCCAGAACCCCTCCATAAAAACTCCTCCTCCAGCTCATGCTTTTCCTGCGGGGTCTTCTGGGGCTTCTTTTCCGTTTGCCTCCTGCAACCCAAGCGGCAGCCGCGGGAATCCAGCGAATCCGCTCCCACAGCGATTGGCCAGGGGACCTCAGCTTCAGGCGGCGTTGCATCCTGAGGTTCCCGGCCGGCACCGCTTCCTCAGTTGCAAACGGTTTGCAATACATACACAACGGTGTAGCGAAATTTGGAGACACATGCATGCTCTGTGTTTGAATGTTTGTTCGGGTCATACCGATACAGGAGGGGCAGAATGGAACCACGGAAAGCCACGGATAGATTGAACATTGAGTTTGTTGATGTCAAAAACCAGTGGGCCCCTTAAAAAAGGTTGCGCCAATCCGATGGCCAGAACACCCAGTGAAATTGAAACCCTCCATCGGGGCCCTCAGGAACCATACAGTTACGCAATGCTCTGAAGGCCCCGAATAGCTTCCGGAAGAGAGAAGATGTGCAATGCTATTGTTTGTGTGCCCTTTGTTCCGCATCCTTTTCATATCCTCCCACTCCACCTTTGGCCTGGAGGAGCACAGAGAAGATACAAGATTTTTCCTGGCGAAGGACCCAACCATATCCAGTTGTGAGTACCGCAATTGTGAATATCTTCTTCGGTGGCGCCCCCTATGGGGCCAGGAACCGTATGAAGGTGTGCCGAATTATGTGACGTAGCTTCTGCAGGGGGCTTCCCTGGGAAGCCCGACGGCAGCGCCCGCGCGCCGCGACGCCCATGTTGGCACGCCCCACACGAGGATCGCGCCCGCTTCCTCCCCTCCTTGTTCCTGTTCCTTTGCCCGCGCACTCCAAAGTCCAAGGCTGCGGGCGCAGCGCAAGGCGGAGCCCTCGCGACGCGCGCAGGTCGCCCCGAAGGAGTCACAGTGACGCGCACGGTTCGTACGCTGTGTGGAACAGATCTTGCTTGCTGGCTGACTGATAACGCGCATGGCTCTGGCCGCCGAGCGGAGCGACGACGGGCGAGCGAGGAGCTAGACAGAGCGCAGCGCGGAGTTCGCGCGACGCGCGCTGATTGCCCCGAGAGGGCCCCAGCGACGCGCGCAGGGCGTCCGCGGCGCGAGGCCAAACAGTTCGACAGCCGAGAGAAGGCGCGCCTGTGGCGAGCATCCTCCAAGGGGTGTGCCGAAATGGGTGTGGGACGCATGCGGGCACACCCACTGGGACCTTCGATGGAGCTCCCTACGGGGCCACGAAACGTGTGAGGGGTGTGCCGAAATTGGTGTGCGGGACGCATGCGGGCACACCCACTAGGACCTTCGGTGGAGCTCCCTATGGGGCCACGAAACGTGTGAGGGGTGTGCCGAAATGGGCGTGCGGGACGCAAGCGGGCACACCCACTGGGACCTTCGGTGGAGTTCCCTATGGGGCCACGAAACGTGTGAGGGGGGTGCCGAAATGGGTGTGCGGGACGCATGCGGGCACACCCGCTGGGACCTTCGGTGTGAGCTCCCTATGGGGTCACGAAGCGTGTGAGGGGTGTGCCGAAATGGGTGTGCGGGACGCATGCGGGCTCACCCACTGGTGCCTTCGGTGGAGCTCCCTATGGGGCCACGAAACGTGTGAGGGGTGTGCCGAAATGGGTGTGCGGGACGCATGCGGGCACACCCACCGGGACCTTCGGTGGAGCTCTATGGGGCCACGAAGCGTGTGAGGGGTGTGCCGAAATGGATGTGCGGACGCTGCGGGCACACCCACTGGGATCGGGGCTCCTATGGGGCGAAACGTGTGAGGGGGTGTGCCGAAATGGATGTGCGGGACGCATGCGGGCACACCACTGGGACCCTTCGGTGGAGCTCCCTATGGGGCCACGAAACGTGTGAGGGTGTGCCGGAATGCGTGTGCGGGCCGCATGCGGGCACACCCACTAGGACCTTCGGTGGAGCTCCCTATGGAGCCACGAAACGTGTGAGGGGTGTGCCGAAATGGGCGTGCGGGACGCATGCGGGCACACCCACCGGGACCTTCGGTGGAGCTCCCTATGGGGCCACGAAACGTGTGAGGGGTGTGCCGGAATGGGTGTGCGGGACGCATGCGGGCACCCCCACTGGGACCTTCGGTGGAGCTCCCTATGGGGCCACGAAACGTGTGAGGGGTGTGCCGAAATTGGTGTGCGGGACGCATGCGGGCACACCCACCGGGACCTTCGGTGGAGCTCCTTATGGGGCCACGAAACGTGTGAGGGGTGTACCGAAATGGGTGTGCGGGACGCATGCGGGCACACCCACTGGGACCTTCGGTGGAGCTCCTTATGGGGCCACGAAACGTGTGAGGGGTGTGCCGGATATGATGATGGTCGTGAGGATTATGATGATGATGATGATGGTGATGACGGTGATGATGACGACGATGATCATGATGACGATGATGATTGTGGGAGGAGGGAGGAGGAGGGGGAGGAGGCAGCGGGAGGAGGAAGGAGGAAGGACGCGGGGCGCCGTCTCTTCAAAACGAGGACCCAACACTACAGGACGGTTGGGAAAAAGGATAAGGAACACACAGAAAACATGGAAACAAGTAATTCCACATAACAGACGAACAAATGTTCGTCGACGTCACGAAAGCACAGCCATCGGCATGAAAAACATGAGAGGAATGTTGCCGTCGTCGAACAGTGCATCGCCATAGCATTCGCCGCAATGGCACTGCACGCACGGACCAAGACGACGAGATCATACGGTTGATGGTGATTGTTATGGGTTGTTGCGTGCGTGCGAATTTGGCTGTCCAGGTATTAGATTTAAATTCGTGTTGCGAGATTCGGTTTTCGCTGCCGCCAGAGATATCAGGAATTCCATTGTCGCGCAGATCGTCGTGGCGTGCGAATTTGTTTGTCCGGACATTAGATTTCGTTTCGTGTTGCGAGATTCGGTTTTCACTGTTACCAGAGATCTCAGGAGTTCCATTGTCGTGCAGATCGTCGCCGTGTGCCCGACATGATGTTTCGCAATATTTGCGCAGATCGTGGCCATGCCGAGATGAGGTTCATGCTCGAACGGCTGCGGATCTGGACGGGAATCGCAAACGCGAAATATGTTTGTTGTGGCGATGGTTGTAAGGTATTCGAATATGTTGAGATTTGTAGGTAATTCCGCGATCCCGCTACAAGGTTGTCCAGTCTATCCTTCGGAACCCGTTCCCCGGTTAATCTGTTTATGTTATCCGCGTTTCTCCCGCGCATTGGCCGTGGTGTTTTCTGTTGAGTACACTATCTGAAAATGTGATAAATCGTTGCGACGGATCGAAGAATTTGAAAATCAAGAAACAGATCCCGACACTCGTTGTGCCCAACGCGGGGATGTCAGAGGTACTGGTCGCGTTCGTAAGAGGGCGGGTCTGGCAGACGGCGCACGGAGATAGGGTGAGATTTCGCCTTCGTCAGGGAGCAGGCCGTCGCCATGCCATCATAAAGTTTACAACCAGAGGCGGGAGAGGAATTGACAGACGAGGAGGAAGGGAACGAGGAGGAGGACGGGGATGAGAAACGAGGCCGAGGCGCGCGGAGGAAAACATGGAGGAGAGCACGCCGAAAATGCGGAAGAAAGCTCGTGATCGTCGGTGCGACTCTCTGTTTTGAAGTCCGCAGTTTGGTTGCCAAAATGGTGTTAGTCGTCATTGCTATGGCGATGGCCCGCTATCGCGTATCATTTTCTGGAAGAAAATAGCCCCAGTTATTGAACATATTATTCTCGCGGGGTTGGGTGACTGAAACAATTTCGTTTATCATTGAAATGGTTGGTGTTGTTGAAAAATATGTTTGTTGTTGAAACGGTTTTATTTGTTGTTGAAAAGGTCGATGCCCTTTCGGTTGAAACATCGAAACCCGTCATTAAAACGATTATGTTGTCATTGCAACGGATGCGGCCCGCTATTAAAACGAGTTTTGAAACGGGAGGGCTTGGTTATTGAAACAAATGTATTTCTTATTGCAACGGTCTCGGTTGTTGGAAATGTTATTCCGATATTGAAAAAGGTTGCCCGTTATTCACACGGTTGTTTCTTTTTGTTTCCGCCCAAAATCCGGCAAGACACACGCGCATGTTGGGGAATGTTTGGGATTGTTTTTCAACATTTGAACCGGCTAGGCGATCCGCATCTCCTTGTCCGAAGCGCCCAGCTGAACCCGCAGCAAAAAATATCTTGGCGAAGGACCCAACCATATGCAGTTGTGAGTACCGCCATTGTGAATATCTTCTTCGGTGGCGCTCCCTATGGGGCCACGAAACGTGTGAGGGGTGTGCCGAAATGGGTGTGCGGGACGCATGCGGGCACACCCACTGGGACTTTCGGTGGAGCTCCCTATGGGGCCACGAAACGTGTGAGCGGTGTGCCGAAATGGGTGTGCGGGACGCATGCGGGCACACCTATTGGGACCTTCCGTGGAGTTCCCTATGGGGCCACGAAACGTGTGAGGGGTGTGCCGAAATCGGTGTGCGGGACGCATGCGGGCACACCCATTGGGACCTTCCGTGGAACTCCGCATGGGGCCACGAAACGTGTGAGGAGTGTGCCGAAATGGGCGTGCGGGACGC